TGGAAGCGGGCAGGGGAGGAGAGGGAGTGAATTTGACGTACTCGTTATTGTCAAATTTGTTTTACCTAAAACTTGTCAACCTCGTTCCTTAACATAGACAAAAAGAAACCGAAAACAGATTCTTCATTTATTGGGATTCTTTTGATTTTTTTAAAATTATTTTCAACTATTGGTTGAAATTAATCATTGTGACAACATGATTCTTCTTCTTTTGCATGTTTTTGTACAGGCCATGCGGAGTGGAGGGTACTGATGGTGTAGAATCACTGAGGACAGAGTTTGGTAAAACTGGGGTTGTTTGAAGTTGGGGTGGAAAAAAATAGTGACAAGGATTTTTTCATCACTTAAATATTTTCTTTAACATCAGATGTGTATGATTGTTTGCAGACGAACAGAACTTTTGTTGTTGTTGTTTTTGGATATAACTAACCACCTTTAAAACGTCAGCATCTGCATACCTTATCTTCGGATAAGGAAAAACGATGGGAATGAAGGACTATGGTACACTGTCTTTGCATTTAGGAGTCAAAAAAAAAAAAAACCGAGGAATAACCGAGGAAAAAAAGATTTCTAATTTAAATTCATTTTTTCTGTCTTCGTAAACCCTTTAAAACAATGTTCTGGAGAATATAATTAGGAAGAGACTATTTATTATTTATTATTTTTTATTTATAACTGTTTTGTTTTTTTGTCGGTCTGCAAGGACGATCTTGACGGCTTTAACAAACGAAGTGTGCAACACGATCTTAGCAGCACCATTAGTGTTTCGTGTTAAGTTTATCTGATCGTCAAAAATTTGTCGAATTATTCTATCTCTCTTTCACTTTTTTTCCTACTTTTTTCCTTGTTTTCATTTTTTCTTCTTTCTTTACAATTTGTGTGGGACGACTTATTGTTCAACTACGTTCCAATAGTTATGGCACTTTATTTTACATTATCATTTTTTTAGCTATATCTTAGTGTGTGGGAGAAAAAAATTCAACTTTTTTTTTTGGAAATTTTTTAAATCATCAGACATTCGCGAGGTAAAAACAGAATTTTCTTTTGGGCTATTTATCTGTGCACTTTTTGGTTCAATTTTGACGGCTAGCGCTGCTGGTCCAAAAAAAAAACAGTTTTAAGAGCAATAAAATGATTGCTGGTTAATAAGTTGGGTGAATGTTGAACAGTAGTCGTGAACTTTGACTTACCGGTAGATTAGTGGTGCCAAAGAGTTTGTATTGACGGAAAATTTGTGAGGAACGAGTGACGGGAGGGGAATGGTGGGGATAAAGGACAAAAAAGGTTGAACATTTTTGCAAATAAGCCAAAATTACTGAAGCACTTGAAAGAAGCTAAAAAATTCTGAAAATAATTCATTGTTTTGTTCATTCAGTTGAAACCTCTTCAAATTTCTTAAATCTAGTCTTTTTTTTTTTCTGCCGCAATAGTTGTGGTAATTTTTTGTCTAAAGAAACAACAGCAACAACTTTGTAGTATCAGAAAATTGATTGTCAAAAAGATGAACACCACTAAACAGACTGCCGTATTTTAAATTTTCATTCAGTTTAATTCTTATTTTATTCTCAGCAAATTTGATTGCTTTTTTCTAAGTGGTTGGGAAATTTTATTTATCGTTCTTTTTTTTATCATAGCTGAAGATTTAAACTAACAGTCTACTATCAGTTGATTGTAGTAATAACCGGAATACACTGATACATAGAAACAGCAGTACTAAAAAAAAATTAATGACCACTGAAAAAAAAAAAAGAAACAAAATGGAAATTTTAATGTAAAGTGGAATAAAAAAGAAAACAAAAACAAATTTTATTTTCTTTTTTTTTTTCCTTTTTCATTTCTTCTTGATTCATCATTCCCGTCTATAGTTTGTAAATAGACGTTACCTTTATGTAAACTGAGTAGACCTAAATCAAAGTTTTCTTTTCTGCATTATTCCTTTGGTAAGTTTATTTATTTACTTTTTTTCTTTTTGGAGGATGGAGATGGAGGTAAAGGGGGGAATAACAGTACGAAAAAAAGGAGAACACTGAAAAATTGTTGAAAAGTAATGCTTAAAACTGTCTATATTTATTGATCACATACATTTCTCAAACTTTCTGTACCTTTTTCTTGTAAACCTTCTTCCGTCCGTCAATCCATCCATCCAACCGTCTGCTCATTTAACCAACTACCAGTCTTGTTTAAGTTTGTCTAGAAGAAAAGAAAAAAGAAAACAATATGTATACATTGAGTCTACAATAAGCACAATTTATCCAGCTGTAAAAACGTGGCATAAACTGGAGCGACGGAAAAGCAGGGAAAGAAGGAGAAAAAATGTTAGAAGAAAAAATAAAATTTTTGAACAAGATTTTTTTGAAACAGAAAAAAGTGGAATATTTGCAAATTACGTAATCAGCAGTAATTGTAGAAGCAACAATAACAGCAGCATTAGCAAAAAAAAAAAAAATCTGTAGTAGTATCAGTATCATCACCAGCAACAAAAGTTGCACATAACAACTAAACTATTGAATAAGTTAAAAGAAAAACGTGAAGATTTATTTTTGCAAGAAAAAAGTTATAAAAAAAAAATATATAGTATCTAAAGTTTAAAACAAAACAACCAATTAAACAAATAAATAATTTTTTTTTTTTGTTCCTGAAAAAACGAAAAAAGGAACCAGTGAAAGAAATTTGATTTATTTGTCTATTTTTTTTCTCTTCTTATCTTTTTTCTTCTTCTTCTATAAACTTATTG